TTTATTTGGTTATATATATATATATGGGTCTATGCACTTGCAGCTTTAAATAATCCTTTTTTTCCTACTTTTCTTCTTTAATCTCTTTTATTCTTTTTTTTTTAAATTCTTTTTTGTCTCATTACTGTATTATATATATATATGTGTGTATGTTCCATTATTTGTTTTTAAGGAAAATTTTGCATTACCAGGGGTCTGTTTAGAAGAAATTTGGGTCCGTTAACGGACCCTTCACAAAGTATCTTTTCTTAAAAGCGGACCCTTCACAAAATATATTTTCATAAAAACGGACCCTTCACAAAATATTTTAACTTAAAAACGGACCCTTCACAAAATGAAATTTCTTTTAATCGGACCCTTCACAAATTTGTTCATCTTCATTATTGTTTTGTTAATCGAATAAACCCTTCCCAGGAAGAAAGACAGATGTAAACAAACTAAATTTTTTTTCCGCAGATGCTTCTTCCTTTATTCGTCCGAAAAGAATATTCTGCGTTCAGCAGTATAGGCTAAATATCAAATATTTGTATGTTGCATCGCTAATTTAGTAGCTGCAATTGCTCCTTATTTTTTTAAATTTAATTTTTTTAATAATAATTTTACAGTGTTGAGCATAATCTTGTATGCCTTTACAATATAAAAACTCCTTGAAAAAGTTTTTTTTTCTTATTTTGCAATAAAGGACCCTATTTGCACAAATTCACAAAAACGGACCCTGGTTGATAGAATTCGACTTAACCTTTATTTTATATTCACAAATTACGAGTAATTTTTTCACAATTTTTCAAAAACGGACCTTTCACAAAATGTCTGGACAGACCCCTGATTACTAAGAAACGGGCTATTTTATTAGTGTTGAAACTTTAAATCTATAAGTATATCGCATGACAAAAAGAATTGTATGGAGTTTTTTTTTTTTTTCGTTTAGAATTGCAATTGTTCTAACGGCCATTAAACCTTCCTTTCCTTGTCAAGATTCATTAATTCGTTTTATTGAATCCTATACATTTTTCTTTCATTAATTGTTCGTCTTTTCATACTCAAAAATTTTTTTTCTATTCACTTCAATTCATGATCATGAATATTAAGTTATTGTTTCATTTTATTTCTGTTATTAACTTGCGGACGGAAGTATCTCACATCTTCAAGCGAAGCACGTAAAAGTCCTCTGCAAACTTTTTGAAAGTTGTCTTACTTAACAAGCTATAAAAAATTTCTTCTTTAAGACGAAAAAAAAGAAAGAATAATTTTAGATGTATACCTCACTGAATATTCAGTTCACCTTACCATCCGCTATCTTTGTAGAAAGAAAACCTAGCCATGCGTGATCGTATTGTTGAGTAATTGATAATAGACTTCGACATAATGATTGATCATTTTTTTCAAAAAAGAAACACTTCAGTTAAAAACGTTAAAATCATTAGCTTTTGCGGATGATTTCTTAAATCTCACGATCCATCAATGTAATTTTAAATCATTATAAGATTGGTTGGTTTTTTTTTTTAGTTAAATTCCTTTAACCTCATCGAATCAGTTTTGGTTTCATTGCTCTTCACTTCACTTCACTCATGACGCTATTCTGAACATAGAACTGGAAATTTAAATTTTCAATTATTAGCCAGTGGCCGGTAGACTCTAATAACTTGTCACTTTTCGCTCGAATTCAGTAAGTCGGTGACCTAAGCCACTTTTTGCAAACTTTTATTTGCTTAGATTAAATTATATTTAAAAAAAAATTCACATTTGAAATAATCTGCGACTATAAAAGCTTAATATTAACAGAATTTAGTTGAACGTACTGACTTTAAAAAACATGTGGGGTGGCAAATAACATTTAAGATATACTCGTACATTACAACTTATGAATTGTTGAATGTACATGTATGAATTGTTACAGAATTCTCCTGTCACACAAATCTTCCCCCCAAATTGATGGATTCTGATAGTTCAAAATTTTGAATTAAGACATTTTAATGAAAATTCTGTTTTTCAGAGTTTCTTTCTGCATATTTTATATCCGTCGTTGAACAACCGACCCAATTTTTGGGTTTTCGACTATTAATGTTCAACTCCGTAGCCTTGTCATTTTGAACCAATCCTGATCTCTCCTGATCCTGAGGAAACTCCTGGATCACTACCCTCAGACGTATTGATTTGTTATGAAAACATGGAGGACTTTGCAACTCGACAGATTTAACGTGTATCAGTGACCATTTACTACACGGGGAGTCTTCGGCCGGGGGGGATCAAACCCACTAACTCTTGGACATGGGTCCAGTGCCCGGCCTCTTTCTACATATTTACAAACTTTTATCAGGGCTGTTCAACGACAGATATAAAAATTAAAAAAAACTTTTATCAATAAACAATTTTACAAAACAAAAAACGATTAGTAGGAAAAAGTGACTAATTTTTTATTTTATTCAAGTCGCCACTTTTTTTGTTTTTTGAATCGCCACATGGCGAGTGTTTATTTTCAGGTCTATCTGAATACAGGGCCATTTGGGGCGATTGTAATGTTAATTATCAAGGTATATATGTATATATATATATACAATATATATATACAGTGGTGGCCCAAAGTGTGGACATTTTTTGAAAGTTTCATGTTTTTTAACTTTGTATGCTTGTAGAATATATTAATTTTCACTTAAATACAAACGTTTTTATATCAAATTGAAGGTAATTTAATGTAGAATTTAATAATAAATACAGTATTACAATATCTGTATTACAAAAAAAGTTATGCAACTATAAGTAAGATCTATCTTAGATTTGCATTTTTTTAAAGTGATACTTACACAATCAATACTTAGTAGGATAACCCTTATTTTTTAAGACAGCTTCACAGCGTCTTTTCATCGAGTGAAC